CAGTACTTCTTGCACATGTCGGGCTCCAAGGTCACTCTCCAATCTCTCCACATCGGTATCCAAAAGGTCCGCGATTGGGTCACCTCGCAGCTCCATGCTACGCCACTACCAGATTTGTTTGGCACCAGAACGTTGAAAAGCAGCTGCAGCAACAGTTTTTCGTTCCGTCTATAGGCATACAGCATACTCATGGACTTATGGACACATTTGAATACATTTGATGTGATGTTTTCACGTTTCACCTCAGGCTATCTGTTCCTTCAATGACTCGATATCTTGAGATGTTGCTGTCCAACTGAATCAAAATGGTCCATGTGGGCCTTCATGTGATGCGGCCCGCCGAGGTGGGGAAGGCAGGCGCCATCCTGGCCTTGCCAAAGTTTCACGGAGTTTCAGTGCAGTTCTTCAGGTTCCTACCCGTGTTAAGGAATTAAGATGAAATAGATTGAAATAATAATAGTATTTCCTACAAAAAATATATCGGATTTCGATGGATTTAGCAGGCGAAAGGTGCCTGGAGAGCTGAGATTTGGATTTTTTTGTGACAGTCCGGCCTGGAATTCTGGCTTCTGGATGCTTCTGAAGAAGGGGCTGCTTCATTCAAGTGCATCACTGGCCATCGTTGCAAAACGGAAGGGATGTATCGCCAGGGTCGGATGCACAGCTGCCTGGGCTGAGTTCGTTGCCTGCTTCCACTGGTCAGTGACTGATGGAGCTGTCTGAGCTCGTCTACCAGTCGATTCCGGTCCACCAAGGGTACGGCAGGGCTGAAGCTCACGGCTTCCCCATCGAAACGGATGGCCAAACGAGCGCGGCGAGTGCAAACGAAGGCATGAACCCAAACGGGCAAAAACTGTCGGCCGTCTGCTGCAACTCCACACGGTGTGTAGCCCAACCGCAACTCTCCCAGTCCAAAAGGACAATGGCATTGGCCACAATTTCTGGGCTCCATGCCTGGCCGAACTGGCTCCACATAGATACATGAAAATCCAGCCATCCCTCCAGGTTCAGTGAAGTGAGGGGCAGCCACAGCATCATCCTCTGGGTCAAGAAACCACGACTCTGGAAGCGTATTTTCTCTATCTGGCAATGGGCTCTCGCGATCTGGGCTCAGAGGAACATCCAGCATCCCTGGCAAGCTCTCTCCATTCAAATGGTCGGGCCTTGAAGATGAAGAGGGCTGAGCTTCAAAGCCAGCAGCGTCCACAGCACTCCAGCTGAAATTTCCCACCCGCTCTGCAGGTGCTGTTGGTGGAGATGCCTCACGCTGCGTACGCTGAGCCCTGGAAGATCTGGAAGTCGCGCTCCGTGCTGGCCGCCGCAAACGCACCATGCGTCCTGTGTTGACGCTCAACGCAGCACTCTGCACTCTTGGCTGAGTGCTGCGGGTGGCACGGGTCCCACGAGCGCTGGCACGGGAAGTGGGCACCACATCTCCCTCATCACTGGAAACATCCATGCGCAGCAGGCGGTCTCGCTCAGCATCATGCACTTCACTAGCGACTTCCTCGACATCCACAAATTCCTGGCCAGCAGCATGTTGAGTTCTCGTGTGCCACGAGCTGGGGTCAACTGAAACAGTACAGTATATAATGAGCATAACTATGAGCAAATTAAAGCTGGGAAAGTCCTAGAATCCTAGACCTGTAAGTTTGCAGAGATGCTTGTGGCAAGTGCGCATGTTTTTGCCAGAGCCCTTTCCTCCACCACCAGGGCTCGAGACACCAATGGTATCCTGGCCCTCCGCGCATGGCGTGCAAGCCTACGCTGGGCCCTGCCACTTAAACTGACATCCACAACCTCAAGCTCCCCGCGAGGAACATTTCTCGATTGGCTGTCACCATCCTCAGCAAACACTTGTAGATCCGTCTCATCTGCTACTGAGGCCTCCATATCGTTTGGATCATCTGCATCATCTGCACCTTCAGCATCTTCAGCATCTGCCTGATTTCCCGCATCTGCTGTAGAGTCCTCGGCCCATCTGGCCGAGCTCACGCTATCCTCCAAGGTGGATGCCACAGAGGTCTGGGTGTCTGGGAGGTCTTCGGTTGACCCCTCCATTCCTTCTGCTCATCAGGTTTCAGCGGAGCTGGACATAGTTGAGGTTGGAGCCGCAAGCATGCGGAGCAGTTTGCAAGCTCTGTTCAACTGTCAAAGTGTCTGACCTTGCTGGATAGGATGGGGGCATGCCAGTTGCTACATGACTTTGGCTGGAGGTGCTTTGCTCGCTTGATTTGTAATGTTTGTCGTTCATTTCAAACCTGACAGGAACCATAGTGCTGCGGATGCTTTTGGCTGGGCAGATTGCTGGGTGGTCTTTGAAGAGTCCATCCAACCATTAGCACCATGGCACCCGTGTGTCGCGGTGGGAGACATTTTGTTTAGCAAGCTACTGCTACTCTGGTCCCGTTTCACTCCCACCAGCCACCAGCCTGGAATTGGATCTGCGCCTGAATGTGCGCCTGCAGACCGTGCAAAAGGCGAGTTGCCGAGGAGAGAGCTAGCTCTCGAAAAGATGATCCTACGAGTGCCCATGAACACCTGTGAGATCCTGTGAGTATCTCTCTCTCTCTCCTTTCTGTTCTGGTTTGTAAGCATGCCATCCAAGTACATCCCTTCCCTCCATGGACCTGCATGCTCATTGGCTGGACCGGCATGGTCGTGGCTGGCATCGATGGCGCAGAGGCTGCTATGGGTGGTGGCATGGATGGCGGTGGTGGCGGCATCGATGGAGCCGACCCGGGAAACCTCAGCTGCGCAGCTGATGGGATTGCGGTGATTGCGGGGCTCTTCAAATCTTTCAACATCGATGGCATCAGATAGCTTGCAAACAACATCCGATGCTCTTGAAATTCACTGCCTGCTGCACCCTGCTGTGACAGGAGTGTCATGTCTGAAGAAGTGAGTCACTTGCCGCAGGCTATCCGGGCCGCAAACAGCGGGGGTTCTTTTGCTGTCTGGTCAATCACGATCCGTCAGTCCACGGCGCCAAAGCAATGAGACTGTGAAGAATGTGGCGAAGTCACCGCCACTAAGATGCCCAAGCACTTGCCCACATACAAGGCCGATAAATTAAATGACTGTGGCGAAAGTATCTTGCGGAGTTGAACCAAAGTGTTTGACAAATCAACAATTGACACTTTACGGCTGTCAAGTCGGGCAAGTGGAGAGTTTTCTTTCTTCCTACGCTTCTCACTCCTCTTTTTTCTTCTTGCTGGCTCTGTAGATACCAACCACCAGCGCATGATCGCGATGATAAGGTTCGAGTGTCAACTGCTCCTGTAGCCAATTTGGCTGGAAACTGGGAGGTTTCCAGCCCATGTGTGATTCATGCAGTTGTTGCGTTCCTCGCTGCATGCCCTCAATATGGGGCAAACCCCTGGCGGAAGTACAGCTTCAAAGTGAACTCCTTTTCTTTCCTTGAATTAGACCACTGCTCGGTGACCTTTGTGCTTGCTTGAAACATACATGATTTTGTTCCTGATTTCTGCTTGCTATCGCAGCTTATCGCATCTTATCGCATCTTATCACTGTTGTTTCTCTTCCGGTTCCCTCGCTCCTTGGGCTTCACTCCATCCTTCCGCAGCTTGTCAATCTCCGATGCAAAAACGGCCTCAGGTGCTGCAGTCGAGTCCACGCAGTTGGCCTTGATAGAAATCCTCAGTGGCCGCTGCAAAAAAATGAGCTGTCGCATGAGTTATACGGTAGTTACACGTATGAGTCATATGGTGAGTCTGAGGAAGCTTCATACAAGGTTATGGCTAAGACTTCGAAGGAGACCGGGGGGCTGCACTGCTGGAGTGAGGAGTACCTTGCTGAGAGGCTGAGATACACTCCAGTCTTAGTTTGCTGACTATCAAAGCCGCCAGCTGATCCAGCTGCCACACCCCGCAGCCATTTGCAGCAGAGGGTCATAACCCAGCCATTGTTCTTCAGGAAGAAGCCTGCATTGTGCGTTACAATACGTGCTTGGTCAGGCTGAGCCACGTCGGAGAAAATCACATCGACCATGCCAATCAACATGCCTCCAGCGAACGGCATCGTCTGTCCAAAAGATGACCATGGGCCACAGGGTTTTGAAGTGCACAGAGAGTTGGCTAAGACGGAGCCGATGGGTCAATTCTAAATTAGAGTCAACAATTAACAGCATGGAATATCCCAACAGGCAGAACATCCCCTGACTGGTGCAGCCCCAAGGTATCCCAAGACATCTTCTCCAAGTGACGATAGCGCTGTGGCTGCCGTGCATCCTCCACAATGGGCACCACGTTGGGCCGGCGCTTTGCCATGTTCGTCAGGTCGCGGCCACTGCGGTGGCTGAATTCAACTGCGTAGACCACGCCTCCCAGGCCCAGAATTAAAAACCCTCACGCCAAGAAAAAAGATGAATGCCGAGATTCATACTAAATGTTCTGAAACTGGTTTTGCATGCTTTCCAAGGACCAAGTTGAAAGAATGTTTGGAAATTGAATCTCTGACGTATCTTTCATCATTCACGCGGGTTTGTTTGAAATGGGACCACCAAAATGCAAATTAACAGAAACACATATTAAAACATATTAAAACATGATAATTGATAATTCGCCAATGGATTTAGGGATACCCTATCTTCAGACAAGCCCACATACTGTTCCATGATTTCAGAAGATTCACAGGACATCGCGCCTTCTGGCCCCACCATGTCAGACACGTGGGACACTGTGGTGCCCGAGGCACCACCAAGATAGAGAACCTTGGCACCGGGCTTCACTGGGCAGGAGCCAATGCCACCGACAATGCCAGCGCCCAACTTCGAGCGGAATGGATTCCACACCCGGTACTCAATCCTCGGAGCGGAGGAAACGGCTGCCCACAAAACAAGCGAGATCGGGGATGCTGGATACAGCTGATACACTGCATGTTCAATGCAACAACTACCCCCCACACATGCAGAAGGCAAGGGAAAAAAGATGAAAAAAGGATCTGAGAAAGAAAATCCTCTTCCGGATCTGCCAGTGAAGGTGCTGGGTTCCTAACTTGACATTCAACCTGGGCACTTGTCTTCTCCGTCGGCACTCTCCGCCACAAGGCGCTTCTCACCGTAAACGGACTCACCAGGGACCAGGTTCCGCGTCACCAGGGAGTCATCCTTGCAACATCTTTCCCAACATCTTTCCCAACGTCTTTCCCAACATCTTGCGGCGATGAGTCAGGGCAGAAGCAAAATGAAGCAAAGCTTTTAGACTTGTTTCTGCAGGCAACCACGGCCGAGAAGGCCCTAAGGCAGGACCCACAAACTATTTGCTTCATCACGGTGACCCCTTAGAACATCGATGGAAACTGAATGCCCATCAGCCTGGCCTTGCCCTTGGACACGAAGGCACCCTCGTGACCTTGGACCCCAAGCTATAACTATAGTAAGTATAGAAAGCAATGAAGAGCAAACAGGACAGGGTTCCAAACAGAAAGTCGGTTCACAGCTGGTGCCCTCAAGACTTCAGCAACTGGAAGGATGAACCGCTTCGCAAAAGCTGGTGGGCTTCGAAGTAATTGGATCAAATGAACCTGAAAATGTAGCACTGTGAGGCGCCGTTACATGTTTCCTGTTTGTCTCCTGACAAAATTCTGTGCATGCGGTGGCACACCATCGTGCCAATCGACTACGCCAGTTGCGTCACAGTTGCCCCACCCGGTGCCCCACCCAACTGATGCTTGTCAGGTAACGGTGGGGTTCAATCACGACCTTTGCCGCTCCTCCCTTCTTTCCTCCGCCCTTGCCGCCTTTGCCGCCTTTACCTCACACAACTGAGGAGGCGATTTACACCTAATTAGTCATAAACATTTGTCGTCAAATGCTGCATGTAAATCTATACGGAGAGTCTAAATAGAAGTGATTCTTAAACTGAACCCTTCCTATTGGAGAATCACCTTTCAGGGGTAGTTTTTCTTGATATCTCTTCTACATCCCTGGGTGGCCATTCAAGAACGTCATGCGGCTTGTAGGTTTCTACAACATGACCACACCGGCATGCGCACTTCCTCAACTATGAAGTGGCATGCTGCCTCGCCACAATGTGAGACTCTTAACGTAACCATTGGTCAGAATGGCAGAGTGTCATCGCCCTGCCTCCACCCTTCTTCCCTTTACCTCCTTTCACTTTACCTCAGCACGAGGAGAAACTGTGAATCTCTCACAAACATGGTCTGAAAACATCTGTAGCTGTAGCTGAGTCAAATGCTGACGGCATGCTGCAACTGCTGCAACTCGTGTTTTTCGTGTTTTTTTTCCCCTCAACCAGGTCATACAACTTCTGTAAGGATCTGCCGGGATGCCTTTTCCTTTGCCGCCTTTTCCATCGGCTTTTCCCTTGCCCTTGGCTTTGCCACCCTTCCCCATCTGGAGTTGGGCGGCCAGGCAATACGTCGATTGAGGCCAAGGGCCACGATCTGATCCAAATTTGCGGCGGAGTCCAAGCGCAATGGCTGTCACAGTAGCAGTTGCACAAGTGATGGCAAGGCATGCCGGCCCTAAATTAGAAACTAGGTAGAGTAAGCTGTTCCCAAAAAGTGATGTATAACTCCAATTGTGAACAGTGCCCGTCGCTTGAATCAACTGGCAGTTAGTGATGCAGGCCTGACATGATCCTCGCAAATAAAGGTGCAAACAAACATCAAACCGCATGAAGACTTCTGGAGGTCGAAGATGGACAGACTGTCAATGCAATCCAATTTCAGGACCCATCAAGGTTTGCATTTCCGCTCCATCACAGCCATCACAGGTGTGAAGTGGACATTGACAAAACATGACAAAACCAAATGGAATGGTCGGAATTTCTTTGATTCCTCGGGATCTAAATGGTGTACCTCCGCCTCCTTCTAGTCTTTGAACTTGGTCCCTGGCTCCGGTGGCGGGGGAGGTGGAGCCGACATGCTGACCTCAAAGCACGAGATCTTCGGCAGTGTTTGTAGCATCTGACTCAAACAATAGCTGAGCTTCAAGCTCGTCCAGGGCCAGCACCAAAACGGCTTCCAAATAAAGAATCTATTGACAAAGACTTTTGACAAAGACTTTTGACAAAGACTTTTGACAAAGATGGATAAAGGCATTCTACCTGTCTCTTTGGGGACGTGTCATGTGCGGACTTGGCTCGGCGGCTTCCCTTGCTTGTTCTGCTACTTTTGCTAGGCAGGAGGAGAAAGCTAGCCGCGCACTTCCAGGGTCTCGTTGATAACTTAGTCTTACCAAGCCATGATGCAAGTCTTTGGCTGCTTGGGCGTAGGGTTTTTCTACATGGGCTCCGACAACCTTGGCACAACAAGCTTGATCCTATAAGAGCTAGGTCGAGCAAACTGCTGCAATGCCCTGCAACGACCCGGCTGTCAACCATTCTGCAATGATCTGAAATATGAAAGCTGTGCAGAAAGTACCTCAAGGACTCACGACATGCTCTTTTGAGAAGCAGCTGCACAATCGAGCGAGCCAAGAGCCACCTTTGTCTTGGTGAAATGGCTTTTACACCCTTTCCAGGTGATTTCAGGAGACAGGGAGGTCCCACCCAAAAAGACTATGCTATTTCAACATGTTTTAACGTTGGCAAACAGCCGTCGAACTCCCCCCCTCAAAACACCCAGATCTTGCAACTGGGTGAAACTGCGGCAGTGCCAAGTGCCATCAACTGCACCTTACGACATGAGAGCCTCCTCAAACGAAGCAGCCTCCCCAGGTGCATTGAGAACCTCAGTCTATCAGTCTATCATGGCAAGATAGATAGCTAGATAGCCAGGCCAAATAATCTGCCAAATAGCTAGATTCAGCTAGATACCCAGATAGCAAGGGGATGCTAGGGGTATCTAGATAGCTGTACAAGTTCGGACTCCTCACCCGTCTCTCTCTCTGGCCAAGCAGCTCCAGATTTCCGCCGTTTCTTTGCCTCGCTGGCTCGTGCCTCCGGGCAGAAATGTGCAGAAAAAAACACCGTCCTCAGCCGTCCTCCTATCTACGATATCCGCGCATTCAGGACCCCCTGCAACTAGCCATCAGGCCAGTTCCAAATTCATAAGGAAATGGCTGTCATAGCTGCCATAGCTGCCGGTACATGAAAGATATCAAGTGCCGTACTCGCGTAGCTCACATTCGTGGCCTGCGACTGCTGCTTCTTCGCAGCTGCCATCTGCACATTCTGGACATCGGTAGCCTTCTCCTCTGCAGGTTCCTTGATGGAGGGTGGACAGGATGTGTGTGAAAAGTGGTGTTAGGTGGTTAGGTCATCCAGAGTGTTCAGGTATAGCATCTCAATCTCAAGGCACTTATCCCATCCCCGCTTCTTCAGTGGTTTTTCAAACTACAGCCCTTTCTCACCACGTGCTGCCAATGTTGCCCAGCATCAATCACTAGGCGCCGGCCGTAAAGATGACTGTGCTGCAGTGCTTCAAAGGCTGCTTGAGCCTCAGCCCTGGAAGCAAAATCAATGAAGGCGAAACCTGCAGCAGAAGAGAGTGCACTGCAAGTTCTGGGAATGGCTTCAGACAACATGCTGCCAAACGCCCCCCAGTCTTGTGCTGCCAAAGGGTGTGCAACGATACCACTGGCATTAAATTAGTTCGACTTCGAGGAAGCCCACAAGAATCTGAGCAAAAGTACATGAAGAACATTCGAGAACCTACCTACTATGTACCCTTGGCAGGGCTGCACTTTCAGCAGTGACCAACTCCGTTCCTTCCAGCCTCGATGTCCACTATAGTCCGCCTTCTTGGGCAAACGACAAGAAACAACAGTGCCATAGGCGCCGAAAAGCTGGTATAGCTCTTTTCCTGGTGAATCGGTGGCGAAACTGCTCACAGAAACTTGAAAAGAATAATATCGGTTAAGACTTCGTAAGACTGCCGTGACTTTTGCACATTGTGTCGAGGTTCTGGTCGCTTCAAATGCGACGTTCCGGACACAAACACTGGAGGACTTGATGCCTGCGCAGCCGGACGTCAGAAGAGCGCACGGGAATTCATGCCCAAGGGGACTTTCCATCCATGAAAACCAGGGACCTCCCAACATGAATGGGACGGAATGCTCTGTCTGTGTGCACAATCTACCCCCATATCGCCCATGCCCCTTTGGTGAAGTGATCTCAATTTGCAGGCCTTGTGCCTTTGCCTTCTTGACATTTGCTTTGCCCGAAGACATCTTTGACCCTCTCTGACTGACTTGGAGTTGAACAGCATGTCCATCAACCAGAACCTCGAGCATCTAAGCACATTAGCACACGATCCATCATGATCCTATCCTCCCTCGCACGGACAACCAGCAGGGGGTAAGAAACTCGATTCAGAAAGGCCCACACTGGGAGTCAAGGTGGCTCATTCTTAACCTGCCAACCGCGCATTTCGATACAGCGCTTGTCACCAAGGAGCTCCTTGCTTTCGCTTCAAGACATCTTGGGCTTGTGCTGCGCTCTCGAACTCCAAAAAGCCATATCCCATGGACAGGGTAGTCTTGTCTTCCTGACGTCAAAGTGAAAAAGCTCCATTGAACAAACCAAAAGGGTGATGGAAAGCCGACAATTCTTCATGAGCCCAAGGTCTTGACACACATGTTCGCAAAAAGGCTTCTGCAAAACTTGTCGACGTCTCATTCCAACCATTTTTCAACTAAAAGCGAACCTGTCAAGCACTATCGTAAACTCAACTCATCCGAACGTACTGAAAATCTGAAAATGTTACTTGGACTCCAACCAACTAATGCAATTTTTACTTCCGTGCCCAGGACACTTTTGTGGACGTTTGTGCTTCGCCCCCGGGGCCCGGTCCTTCTTTGCGCCCTTCTTGACAGCTGACTTCTTGCGCATCACAACTGCAGAGCGGAAGCCTTGACACTTCCGGAATGCGGCCTTTAGTGAGTCATCCGTGGTGCTGAAATTCAAGTTCTTAACCTCAGGCATAGAAAGTCAAACCCATGTTGCAATACAGTGGGTCACGACTCCGCCAAGAACACAGTACACAGGCAAAGCTGATCTTCCAGTTGTATGCACCTACTGTGGCTCACCAAGTTCAGTAAAGAAGCGAAAAGATATCCACGCGACTCCTGTGCCAATAGCATTCAAAGGGTTCAAAGTTCGCATGCTTCAAATTTGCTAGGAGCTTGCGCGCTTCAAGAAGTTGCTTCCCTGCGAGATGTGTGCAATAAGATACAATGTACCCGATGGATCTTCAGCACAAATGCTGACACTCCATGTTGGTACCTAGACTCTCCATATCATACAGCCATCAAATAACTGGCCGGCCATAGTCCATAACTTGCATAACTTCCCTGGCCCCAGGGCATCCGTTGGCATTTTGCCCTTCGTGGCAGTCCTCATCAACCTCCTCCTCTGCTCCGACTTCTGCGTCTGCAGCAACAACACCACCCTCAGTAAACCTTAGATCGAAAGCTACTCAAAGCATCTCAAAACCTAGTATTTCGTATTTCCTAGTTGGGATGTTGTTTCTGGATTTCAGTTCTGAAGACACTGGCACTGCCTAGTATTCTGCAGTTGCCCTTTCATAGGCTAAACTCCGTGTTGCAGAAGTACGTCCATCTAACATTGAACCCTGGCACAGGCCAAGATACACATCTTCGGGCGCCCACTCCAAATATAGCGGGACATGGCCTCACCAAAATCCGTTGCTGTATCCACTAAATAAGTTCAAGAACTTTTTGGCAAGGAGAGAGGTTCGGGCAAGGGACAAAAGCTAGCTGGCAAGGTAAAGGGAGAAGGAGGATGGTGCGATGAAAGAGCATTGTTTGAGGAATTGGGAGATAAGGAGTGGAGAGTAAGTCTGATGATGCTGATCGTGCTAACTCAGGTGTTGGCACTGGAGCGGGGTGGGTGCACAATGCCAACTGTTGTTTTAAATAAAATATTGCTCCTTGCTTCCAAGCAGCGGTACCGAGAGAAAGCCAATTTTTGGAATGCTCTAGTGGCCGCCCCTGGCCGAGAAGGAGCAGCTGGCAGTATGAATTTTAGGTCCCCCCGTGCACTTCCTCCCGCATCCGCATCCGATTTCACTCTCAGATTCTTCAAGCTGCCTTTGTCGCTGTACTGCACAATCGCAACCTGCAGCAACGTGAGGCGAGCTCTTGAAGGGGCAGCTGGACAAAGACCCCTTGCCTTCTAGAGTATGCTTCCTAGCATCTAGCAGTTGAAAAGCTATCCTCAAAGTCAAGCGTGAAGGAGCTTAAGTGAAGCTTTGAAAAAATGGTGTTGCTGGATTGTTGGCTGACATTTGGCAGCGTCACTTTGTCCATGGTTGTTCCAAAAGTTGTTCCGGTCTTCTTTGTGTTGCCTCCCCAAACTACCCCTCCGGCCGTGTTGGAAGGCGCAAGAGTGCAGCGAACAAGCGCTCCAAAGCGTGCAAACCTCTCGCGCAGTTCCGCGGCGGTAGCAGACGCTGGAAGGTGCTTTACCTAAGAGACGAGCTCACCGTTTTTGCATCTGACACATTCTGATAGTGCATTAGCATCCAAAAGAATAGTTTCCATATTATGTGTCACTTAACAGTGGCTTAGCATAGTTTTTGCCATGGTGCAATTAGAGTGTCATCCCGGCGTTTTGCATCTTCTGGCAGCACAGCCTTGCTGTTGGTGAGAGCAGTGCCTTTTTGTTCAAAGGCATCCACTCGAATGCCCTCACGCTGTAGCCACGACTTCCTCACATCGGTGTCCCAATGTTGCATTCGCTCAGCTGGCAGGAAAACAATTCTGCTATGAGGCATAAATAGATCCCTATGCAGAAGTTTTGAGAACTCCCTCCGTATGGAAATACAAGGCACGTTTGCTGGATGATGGAGGTTTCCGTCAATGCAGCAGTCACCTCAGTGCAACTTCAAGTTCCATTGCATCCGCTTTTTGGAGAACATACCTGCAGTATCCTGCTGCAAATGCCCATCCACTCCAAGTGGCTGCAGCGTTCTCGGCATCCTTTCCAAACAGCTCGCTCTTGGACACACCAAGCTGGGCACTTGCAGCATCTGCTGCAGCATTGGCAGAGACGTAGAGTAAATTCCAGGTATGTTCCAGGTGCGCATCCACCTTCTTTTTCCTCTCCTCACCGAACAGTACTTTCACATCATCTTGCCCATCCCTGTCGAGAAACAAATTCTGGAGTGTCCGCACAAATGCGTCCAAGTTGCTTCAAGCTTGCCTGTTGCCAAGGGAGAAATGGTCATGTTTGGATGGATCTGCATACAGGATCCTAGGCCAAATCTGTATGATTTTGCAGCCAAAAGGCGCTTGTAGGAGCTTGTGCCGCCTTTCGCCTAGCTAAAGTCACTAGATTTGTTGAGACCAATTGCTTGCCAACAACTGTCAGGCAGATTTTGGTCCTTGTCACTCCCTACATCCGCACTCTGCACGCATCTGTACAGGTGCACCTTTTGCTCAGAAGGCTCGACTGCAGGCTTCTGCTTGGCAGCACAGAGGCGCAGCAACCGCCCCTGGAAAGACTTCAGGTCCAGCTCTGCTAACGCTCCTTAGCAGCTGAAAGTCCCATAGCACCCGTATATCTCTTGCTAGACAATGCTATACAAGTATACGACGGTTGTCACGAGCATTTGCCGCAAACCAGCTTTGTCAAAGCGGAAGCAGGAGGAAGTTATATAGTGCTTCAGTGTCTCATCATCGTTTTGACTTCATCGTTTTGACTTCATAGAACCCCAGAATCTGAACCCTGTCTTATTGTCGCCTTGATTGATTTCATTTGATTTCCACCAAGTGTTCTCAAACAGTCTTGTCATGTCAGTGCTTGCCTGCCATAGATCGAATGTCAATGTGGCAAACTGGCAACACAATGGTGACTACAAACACATCTACCTTAACGTGATCCAAGCATCTCACAGCGCATTCAGGAAACCTAAGGCCAACAGTTCTGTTCATCCACAGCCACAATGAAGTGCTCAATTCAACCAGTCAACCACTGGGTTGAAAGCCATGCGTGATGCATGTCAATGTAGCAGGTAGACAGAAGATATTGCAGTCAAGCTGCGTGTATGTTACGTATCCAAAGCCGCGGGACTTCAAGCTGTCCTCGTCCTGGAACTGCAAATGAATTTTGATGTGACTGTGCCGCCCCATCTTTAACAGCTTTGTCATGAAACAAGTTTAACAAGGCTTTCTGGGCTTCCCACTATTTTTAGCCCTGGCCCTAAAGAATTCAGGATTGAGTCCATCAAGTCCATCAAGTCGAGAAGTCCCTTGTTCGGCCACGGCTGCCATCCTTGCAAACAACTACCGTCTCAACCTCTCCAAGGGTTTCAAAGTGCGCTCGAATCTCATCTTCGCTGGCGCCATAAGGGAGATTAGTTATGTACAAGCCTCGGGTCATGAGCCCATGAGACCCATGAGTCTAGCCTGTCTAGGTGTTGGCCGTTATAATGACAATCTGAGCAACCAAAGTATCTGCGTGCAACTTAATGCAAAATTTGTCTAGCTCCCTGAGGAAATACAAGCATAAAATGATGTGTTCGTAGTGATGTAATTGAACACTAGTCCCAAATTGCAATCCGAGCCTCTATCAGCATGTCGAGTGAATTGATGAAATGAAAAAAAGCAGCCGGTAAAGAACCCCAAGTCGACAGCCAACACCTGCCGAAGCAACCCAACAATGCCAACATTACTCCAGCAGATTGAATCCAAGAAGCGGCCAGACGATTCCAAGTCTTCCACGCCTTCATTGCCTCACAAGTCAAGGTCAGTGAAGAGAAAAGCTGAAGACAGATCACGATGTACCAACTAAAATGTGCGAGGAATCCACCCTTAAATGTGACTACGCCTCATGAACGTCTCTTGAGAAGCAAGAATCGGGCCCCCCCTTTCCACTAGTCGACGTACCTTACCTAAGTGAATCCCATTCGCCAAAATCACAAGCAAGATGCCTGGTTCAGGTCCTTCTGCCGCAGCTTCCGCATCAGCAGCAGCTGCAGCATCTACCGATTCGGCAGCAGCGATTTCATCTGCCATCTCTACACCTGCGGATCCCCCGCAGGGGCAATGAATGCCCATGGTGCAAACTCCCAAAAGGATGATACAACTTCTTCCTGCCACTATGAAGGTGGCATCATACTCCTGCCTTCGCTTTTTCTTTTCAAACCTTATGGACCACTGGTCGGCCAAAACAAAATCAATCACCACAGGCTTGGGGCAGTTGATGATTGGAGGAGTTGATTTCGAATCTAGAACCTTTTTCTACCCATGCCATGACTCCATTTGCATGTCTAGACCTCCCAGCCAGACACAGAACACAGACCAGAAAGAGATCTAAACAGCCGTCCGGAGCGCCAAAAAGGTATCACAAACTCTTATCATCTCTTATCTACGACTCCTGTTCGCCCCCCGAGAGGAAAGAAAACTGCAACATACTTGCTGAACGACCCAAGGAGTGGTAGACTTGAGTCTCCATATGTAAACAAGCAAAAACTCATGAAACGACATCTCCAGGCTACTTCGCTTGCCTTTGCTTCGCTTCTTTGGCGATGCCTTTGGTTCCAGATTGGTTTCCTGTGCTTCCTCTTGTAGCCCTTCAACTTTCTTTTGAGCCTGCCGGCCGTATGCTCATAGAAGAGGCCACCCATGTGGATATTCCCTCATGCCATGAAAGCAACCCTCATAGAAGGACAAAAAAACAAACTAAAAGGGTCCCTCCTTCATCTTGAGATACTGCAAATCATCCAGTTCATCGTCAAACGCCAAAGACTGCTGACTGCGCTCATGGGTTTCTGCTGGGCCAGGCGTGGATCCTTGCACATCTTCATCACCTCCAGCTGCTAGGGTCAACATTGTATTTAGAAACTCGCATTTTGAAACTGAATTCCCGGAAGGCATGCTCAAGTAGACACGAACGTTGTCGCCCCACCCCAGCCATAGCATGTGCAAGTTGGGCAAGATTAGTGGGAGAATCCTCCTAGTCGCGACAACACTAGTTTCCAAATACGATCAGTTGCAAGAGAATGGTTGCACAAGAATAAGGTGCAGAATACGACCAAGTAGTTGCGCAATCAGACCATGTAGTTGCGGAATCCCGTGAAATCCAAATGATTTCGAAATAAGACTTTATCCCAGCTGCGGCCAGCAAAACCCTTCCTGGTCGGACAAGCTGGCACCCAAGACCCGCTGCTGCATACAAGTTGCTCGATGCAAATTCCATATGCCTTGAATTCCCAAAAATCCGCTAATGGTTTATGGGTCCATCTGCAACAAAATCTGCCTGAAACCATTGATCGCCAGCTTGGAATGAATCTCCACAATGGGTATGCCACAAGAAAGAAAAAATCTGGTGGACTATATCAGCCCAAGGAGCGTTCTGGTGTCACTGACCCCAGCCTTTGTGGGTTTTATATTTGCAGTTCGAACGGCTTTGGTTCCTTTGACCACAGCACTTTTTCGGCGTCCTGGCCAGACAGGACATCACTGCTGCCACCATGTCACGTGGAAAGCACCATACGAGGCCTCTAGTTTCCTCCTGCTTCTTGGTCGCCTTCACCGAAGATCAAGGATAAAAAGAACAACATACTGCAGAGGCAATAAAGATGCAGCATGAACCCTGTCGACTGACATCACTGCCGGACTGTTGGCACTGAAGATATTATTTTGACAATCATCGTCATATGTCTCATATGTGTCCTGTTTAGGATCTAGCATGGAATTCTATGCTTGCGACAATCTGCAAATGGCGATGTGGCCTCCGCTTTGGTAACTTCTACAGAAGAATGGGTTTCTTCAGCTTCGTTCCCTGAAGTGGAACAAGCACACAGAAATTTCTTCAGTGCAATTCACCGTGCTGCAAGCTTGGTCTTCTAGCTAAGGTTCACGTGGGTTCATCGCCATTTGTATCTTGGAACTAGTGGTTCCCTCATGAAGCACCCATCCGCAGTTCAGACTGGAAAGCATGACCCTCCTGACCCTGAGCAAGCCTCACAGTGAAAATTCATGGCACATGGTTGCTGGCAGTGACAGCTTGCTACTAGTTTGGATAGCTCATAGTAGTCGCATTCCAAGTTTGGAGCGATTGTTTGCATTTCACTAAGAAAATGGAACGAACGGTCAGTTTTGCTCCAATGATGGGATTGGTTCCTCGGACAAGATTAATCGCAACCTGAAACAGAGGTCCCAACACATGACAATACAGAACTTGACATGACCCCTGACCAAACTACACAATGCACAACTGTTTTCGTGAATGTATCTGATAGTGCCACGTCTCCATCCTGTTGTAAGTCCTCTGATCCAATCTGCACAAAATCCCATGCACTCTGCCAGTCCTTTCTGCCAGCTCTCCTTCTTGTTAGCTTTGCGGGCAGTTCGCTTCTCATAAGCCGAGGACCCCAAAGCATACCTGCATTGCTAGCATTTTGACTAGTTTTACCGTCTACACGTACAGTCAGCATGTTTCTAAATGGCAGGAAATACCGTTGCAAGGAAGTTCGCGTTCCATGTTTCGAGATTAGAATGTCTCGACTTCAGGTCGCTTGCTTTGGATTGCATATTTGTTCCTTTCTTGCATATTTGTAACTGCACTGTGCAAAAGCAAGCACAAAAAATAACTATACGTTGTACTGTACATCGTTATACCGTGTTCGATCTTTTTTACAGTTTTGCTTATTAGCAAATGTAGGCGCCACCGTTTTGATTGCCCAGACACTTGCTCCATGGACGAGCCAATGCATCGGACCCAGGTGCATGAGCAATCTCAACACCTCAAGTCTACACACTTTGCCAATCCGACCAGGTTCTACTTAACGGGAATTTCATGGTATTTCAAGAGTCCGTGCCGGGCCGCTATTTGAGATTCTAGATTATTTGTTACGAATGCACGCTGAACACAGCTGCCAACATCAATGCGCAGTATTCTGACCTTGTGCATGTGTACAAGAACTTGCTCACCAAAGATGCATTCCCATTTGTTTTGTCTGGGCAAGCTGCTGACCCGCGATGTATCAAAAAAACTCCTGTGCAACTGCTTCACAGCAGCTTCTGCTTCAGAAGAGTTCCTCAGATGGGCTCGGATACAGTACGCCAAGGCCAAAAAGCTAGCAATCCTGGCGAACCCCGGAGCACACTTCAATATCTTCAATACTAAATTAAAATCGTGCCAAGGATCCTAAAGCCAATGAAGGCAAAGTTTCTGGATCGGCCATCTTTTGTCTTCCTGCCATATTTGGTAGCAGATGGTAGCAGTATCCTGCCGTTGTTTGGGCAATTACCATCTTACATTACAGCACTTGTCAAAAAGAACAACTGAAGCCGAGCCGCTGGATTTTGCAGTCAGTGATTTCTCCGATTGACCCAAAATAGTCTCGCAAACGTCCGTCAGACGCATGCTTCGGAAGATTTTTGACGATGACACGAGAAGCCATGTGCTTGGAGGGCACAAGAAGTCAGGCAAACATGGCAGAAAAGTGTAGTTTGCTGCGTATTTGTAGAAGTCCTGCCTGCCAATATGCAAACAAATCGTGGGAAATGTGGGTACATTTCGGGTCGACCCGTTGACCTTGACGGTTTTATAGCATGGCTGCGGTTCAATTTCATCTTGTCACCTGTGCTGGACATGTGTTTGAGCTGTGGGTTCGCCGAAACGTATGCATAGGAAAGTGAACTGTTCCCACCTTCCACCAAATTGATTTTTTTTGTGTCAAAATAAACAAGTGAGCATTGCGCGGTAATGCAGCGATCAAAACAAAACTCCGGCATTAACCTGCCGACCTTCTGTCCACGCGACCGCGTTGAAATTTCATGGCGTCTCCTGCGCTGCACACGCAATATACTGTAGTGTTTTTTTTGTAATGCCATACCCGAAACATAATTTTTAAGCGCTCTGGTTCTACTTTGGGGGAACCACCCTACTTCATGTGACCGGCACCAAAATATCAACATATCAACATCCTGTTTTTTTTGAGAATAAATGCTGACATATGTTCAAAGTTTTATCCTGGTCTGATGGCTAATGTTTTGTCACAGATTCTGGTGTTCAGCGTGACATGAAGGCGAGCATATGTTGTCATACCAAAAACATAACCTGGATTTAGCCAATTTCGTGTGGCATATGTGTTGACATGTACTCCGACATCGTTTCATACCAATTTGATACATCACATCTTCCGACGTGTGGTCTGACATGTGGTCTGACAATAACTAGACTATACCATCTATTTTTTGACACGTATTCCGGAATCACACAGATTCCGGGAATGTGGCATATGGTCAAAGGCGAGTGGGCCACACATCATCGGTGAGTGCGCAATGAGACCCTACTAGATTGACACGAAATCCCAGTCGAACAATGTGATCTGCAGGCCTGCCATCAAAACGAAACGAGGAGGATGCGGGAGGAGTGAAGGAGGTGAAAAAGCACAGAGGGGATGGGCTGCTCAAGGACCATCTTGACACGCGTGGGAAAAAAAATACATATCATATCTATAATATCAAGGTCCATCCAAGCACCTTCATCACGATTGTTCAAAAAAAAAACCTGAGAAAGGGGGAACGAAAACCAGCATCCCATCTACCCAATTTTCCCCCAAAGATTTTTCGTCCGCAGACTTTTCACCCATAGACTTTCACCCGTGTACTTTTCACCCACACCATACACTTCTCACCCACAGACTATTCCCCCATAAACTTTTCACCCACAGGTTTTTGACCCACATACTTTTCACCCACAGACTTTTCACCCATATACTTTTCACCCAGAGACTCTTCACCCAGAGACTCTTCTTGCACAGACTTTTCACCCGGAGACCTTTCTCCCACAGGTTTTTCACCCACATATTTTTCACCCAGAAACTCTTCACCCAGAGACTCTTTTTCCACAGACTTTTCACCCACAGACTTTTCACCCATATACTTCTCACCCATGTATTTTTCACCTAAGACTGTTCAACCGTATACTTTTCACCCACAGACTTTTCACCCATACACTTTTCGCCCACAGACTTTTCACCCACAGACTTTGCACCTCAGACTTTCACCCATACCCGTCTCACCCACATACTTTTCACCCACAGACTTTTCACCCGTATACTGTTCATCCAGGGACTTTTCACCCACAATCTTTCACCCATATACTTCTCACCCATCAACATCATCAAGCACATCTACATGAACAAGAACAAGTTGCCAGTAAACATGTGCACAGAGGCATGCAAAGGTGTAGCACACAGGTGGGACTATGGGAGGCACTTCAGGGTGGGACTATTGGCTATGAACTATATGTTTGACCTCATGGGTGGCATGCAGATGCGGCATTGGGTAGTTCAACCAAAATTCACCAAGAAACAAACCATCGACAATGCAGCCCGCAGCGCAGGATACCAATTCATCAGAGACAAAGGCCCCAAGTCCAACAACAAGAATCAGTTTATGGAATTGACCGATGAACAAATCCACACCGCAGGCAGCCCCATTGAAAATTGGCATGAAGGAAAAATCATTACAGCCTGGCAGAACTTTTCTTGAACCACAGGGGCTAAGGCGTATTGGGCTCAAATCTGTGCAGGACAAGTGTTCCAATCTTGCTAAGGGAATTTCTTTCACCCCCCTTTGGAACACTTCGTTCGCACTCTGCTTGCCATATGCTTTGCATCTGGTTTTGTCACCAAGAACTTTGACAGAGAAGTATAATCAAATCGTTTTGACGTGGCGTTACTCAGTGTGCAATTGCGCCCTTGCAGTTTCAGCCTAGTGTGGTTTTGCTGCTTGTTTGCATGTTTGCGTTTCATTTCCACACATACGAAACCTCTCCAATTTTGCCAGCCGTTTATTGAAAAGGAAAGTACCTGTCAAGACTATACCAAAGTACCTGGGTCTGCTAAAGCTAAGTTTCCAACTACGGGGTCCGAATCTAAGCTTGCAACTGTACTGTTTTCACTCGTGGTGCGGTGTTTCCCGCCAGTGTGTAGGTAGCGCCTTATGTCTGCGCAAGATCGCTCCATTGTGCTCTCGCAATGTTGTTTTCAATGCCATGAGCGGTTTCCACTTTTTGAAATTAACGCTTGACACAACTCGCAGTTTTGTTTTACGCACATGTTCCTGAAAACCTTTGTCAGTCAAATCAATCACGCCTAATCCATCCAACGATCCCAACATGTCACTTGCAGTCGCTAAGTGTTTCGTCAAAGTGTTTGCTGGATTCTGCTTCCCGTCGATTTTACCAATAATGACCTGCTTTATTTGTACCAATTCCTGAATGTACATGTGGCCAAGAGCAACATGTCTCATTTTACCTGGTGTAACTATCACATGTAGTGATCGTTGCAAATTGGCCAGGACGGTGTGCTTCAAGGGCGGGACGTACTATGGGCAGGGTGAACTTGAGCAGAACGTTGCGTTCCACATTCGATCTTACCAAGGCTAGATCTCACGGCGCACTGCACTTTTCCACATCTGGCAGGAATGCGCTCTGGTGAACCTATCACATGTAGTAATGGTGGCAAATTGGCACCTTCCCCACACACCCAGCATCACCATAGTCTTGGCCAAATCTGTACGGGGATTCCACTCCGTTGGGTACGGGGATTCCACTCCGTTGGAAAAGCTGCACTTTCTTCAAACCGCTAAGGAACTGGCTGCAGAGGTTCTCGATTCGGCTTCTGGTCTCACAAAACAATCGGTCACAAAAAGTGCAAACGGAAGCCTCTTGCAGGTAGATTTCTAAAGTTCTTGTGCTAAGCCATCTGCCCTTTCTCCTGACATACTCGGCATCCTCTGTAAACTGCGGCCAGAATGTGGCTCCTGGGGCCCATCAACGACCGAGTTAAATGCGAGGTCCCACGCAGCTCCAACTTGCCGCCGCGAAGCAGGGCGACGGGCAGACACTGCTTTATTGCCTCCGGGTACCTCCGATATGACTTGCCAGATCGATAGAGGTCCTTTCCGTAGGCGACCAAAGCATCACAGACCGCCTCAGGATCGGGAACCTGACGTTCAAGCAAATCCCACAGCGTAGTCCTGAGATTCCCCGCAAGCCAGAGCTGTTCACGGTTGTCGCGCGCAGACTGCAGGACTACTTTATCGGCCTGCAACACTGTTCCAGCGCGCCTCGCAGCGCGATCAGCTTGACCCGCCCCTGTGGGCCGCAAAGGCATTGCAGTGACACATGGCAAAAGAGCTACGAGCGAGAGCAAACGAGTCCTACGTCCCGAAATTAGCCTATGCTTATTTGGGGTTTCCGGTGTTCAGAGCAACAGCAATCCACAGGAGGACTGGCAGGATGCAGAGTGCAAGAGGGGCAGGATGGAGACAAGTCCAAAATCCAAAGTCAAAGAGATCGGAAAATCCAATGGGCTCAGTAGGGCAGCTCAAAGTTCCAACATGCTTCGCCAGGGCAAGCGCAGCATACTACAAGGATGAGAAGCTGAATCCATCCTGCAGTGGCCCTTCAGAACCGGTGAGAGTGGAGAGAAGAAATCTCAGCGCATGACAAGAAATCCCAAATGGAGAGGGAGAAGTAGAAGGCAATGCCTCGTCTCTTGTTGGCGCATCAGCTGTATTGAGTCTCGTCGGTGCAAATCCATAAGCTGGGTAAAAGTTCCCAGCTGCAGCATAGGCGCGCTCAGAAGTGAGGGCCTCAACGCAACAGCTGATGTTCTGCCCTTGGCATGAGCGCCTTTCGCAACTCGGGAATCAAGCAAGGCACTGAATCTGCGATCGCCACCATCAAGCACAAGCATACGCATCAAAGAAACAAGAGATCTGCTCTCGAGGATGATGATGTGCATGGGAGGCCTTGATCCATTCCCACTCCTTCTCAACTTTCCACCCATCCTTGGACAAAATGTCGTTCACAACAACGCTCTCAATCTGGATGGCCTTCTTCTCTTCAGGGACATCTACTGCTCTGAGGGCCTTTGCAATGTCGCCAGCCAAAAACTTCGCAAACCCAGGATGGTACACCGCACACCGCACTGTCTCTGGCCTATCGCCCCTGAATGCGAACATGCGTGCGTCCCCCTTTGCAGCCAGAGGTGATCTCATCCGTGAAGTCCATGGCAGAGAAGTCGGAAAGGCTTTCTATGAATGATGCTCCCAAAAACGCAGGAGTCAACAACAGCCTCTGAGAAACCAATCTGAAGCAAAAACCTCCAAATGCTCAACCAGGCCGAGGTGAGGCTGCTCGAGAAGACCATGTCGAGCCGCATACCACACAATCGCCAAACATCTGACTGCCAGCAAGTTACCAAGGAAGGTCTTGGGATTGAGCCGATCAAATCCAAGCGGCTGGTCATACGATCTGCTGGCAGGATGCTGTGCTGGGGAGAAGGTCGTGCACGTGGGCTCACAAAGTACAGCGCGGAAACGCCTCGTCAAAATCATGTAAAAAATCCAGTCAATGAGCCGTAGGTCTCTCAAGTCAAAGTGCTCACTCCTGGATAGGTCTATGGGGGTGCAGACATTCAGACCCTCCTTTGCCATAGCATCAAAGAACACCTGAGCCACCACAGATCTCAACCGCATCAAAGCTGAAGTCAAGGCAGAGTGTCTCAGCTAACTCCGGGTCAACTTCAAGGGAGGGGACGGCGCCTCTGTTCGTGGAGGCATCTGTTGCATAGACCTTTGAGTCGTAGTCAACCGAAATGTCACTGACAGCGATGAAGCTGAAGACACTGTCCAGCGTGAGCTCCTCTGCAAGACGTCGAAGAAACAGCAAAACCTCATTATCATCATCATCATCATCATCATCTGCTGCTGCTCGAAATCATCTGCTGCTGCTCGAAATCCGAACTTCAGAGGGGACACAACAAAACGGCCTCCTGCACATAAAGACAGAGACCCAGTTTCCAGCAAGCCAGAGCCCTGCTGACGCAGGGGAGGCTAGCAACCTTCAAAGAAAGGCAAGGCATAGGAATCCTCTTGAACATGTGTCGTGCGTTTCCAAACTGCTCACTTGAAAGCTGCTCGCACTGGTTCTTTTGGCCTGGGGTGCTCTGTGACAGCTGGTCCTGTCTGCTTGACAGCTGGAGCTGCTGCTGGAGCCAATCTCTCCCAACAGCCCAGCGTCGAAAGACAAGCTGTGCTCGTTGGCCAACTTCCTAGAAAAAGGTGTGGGATGGGAGGGTGCTTTGGGCTATTTGAGCCTCTGTAGCTGCACCGTTGGCAGTTCAGCACTACCTCCCCATGTTCCTATGCACATGTGTGCTCTCAAACATGTGTCGTGCGTTTCCAAACTGCTCACTTGAAAGCTGCTCGCACTGGTTCTTTTGGCCTGGGGTGCTCTGTGACAGCTGGTCCTGTCTGCTTGACAGCTGGAGCTGCTGCTGGATCTCTCCCACACTGGCGCCAGTTCCCCATTCCTCCAGTGTGAGTCATAGTGAGTGGAGCAGGTTGGATCGCGATCATGTCGTTGAGTGCTTTCCCGTGAGCATAGTCCGAATCGACTGCCACGCGTGCCAGAATGTCATAGATGCCTTCCACTGGTATTTCCGTCCAATTGGCGTTGATTTTCTGCATCTCGTCATACTGGAAGCGAGAGACGCTGTCACTGATGTTCAGGTTGGACTGGACCCATTCGAGATGTAAGTGCCAGCCGTCGAGGGCGATGATCCTCCATACCAATGCCAGGACATTGCAGATGGCAGGGTCTCGGCAATAGCCTTTCCTCAAGGCAAAGAAGCCTGCCGTGTTGTCAATGAAGGACATCACCAGGTTCGAGGGCAATTGACGGCAGGTCAAGAATCCCATGAGTTGGGCAGCAATCTCGAGGAAGTAGATGTAGGCTTTCCTGGTACAAAACTTCTTGATGAGCCGTGAAGGTAAGCTTCCGGAGGAAAACCAAGTGTTGCCTTCGAAATGAATCACCACTCCCCAACCATTCTCATAGGTATGGCACTTTGTCTTGTGCCAATGTTTCGGGATAGTCTTGGATCCTGGTGAGTGGTGTGTGCCATCAATCGCGAAGTACGCATCTGAATAGAGGACGATGCAACTTTGGTCCATCTGCTTGGGGATCACCCTGGGTTGGATCTCTCGAAGAAGATTCATCAGCGATCGTAGTGCCGATCTGAGTGGTCCGTTCAGTTGGCCGTCATGGTCGCCCTCTGAAAGTCCATGCGCTCTTGCGTAGAGCGGTTGGAGTGATGCGCGACCCAATTGGCCGAACAGAGTTGAGGTCAGGAAAACCAACTTTCCTGCGAGTCGGTGAGCTGCCTCATCTGTCAGTCTGTTGGTCTCCAATGCATTCTGGATGACCTTCTTGGCCTTGTCGCATCGTTCGGGGTGTGGCGACAAAATCACCTCGTCCTCTGTGATGTGCATATTGATGCCCAAAACTTTCTGTCGGGCTGCTGGTGGTAGAGCCTTTCTTTCTTTCATGCGGAGTCCAAGTACCCTCATAAGGCGTGTGAACTCTGAGAAGCTGCTGTGTACCAGGGCTGAAGGCTCAACGCCAATGAAATCATCGACGTAGTGTCCCAGCGGCGTCGCCAGTAGACGGCGGCTCAAAAACATGATGCCGTCTGCAGCCCTGTTGAAGTTCCAAACTGAGCTCACTGCGCCGAAGGTCATCGCATGATGTTGAAGGAGTATTGGCCCTCTGGGTGTCATGAGGACACAGAAACAATCTGTTGGGTCACGTACTGGAAACTGTCTGTATGCTCCGTCCAGGTCCTGGGCCCAAACCAGAGATGTGTCTCCTCCCTGTGGGGCCGACAATGCCAGGTCAGTGAACGTTCTGATGTCATGGTGGTGTGGCACGTCATACGCCACAACTGTTGCATTGTGGCCTGACCGACGGAAATCTTCGCACCGCCGGATCTTGTCGGCTTGGACCACACTAAAACAAAAGCTGGTGCAGATGTTCTGAATGGGTAGCTGGAGCAAGGGCATCTCGTCGATGGTCGTGGTCTGAGTCGGCCACCAATCAGGAGCTCGGTAGGGTCCTGACATTCTGCCCTTCTTCAGCTCAGAGCGCAGTTCATCCAACATGGATGACCATTCTGGATCCACGCGTTTGCTGCGCAGTTTGGCTCTGGTATAGTGTTGGTTGTGCTTCATGAAGGTCTCGGCCGACGTTGGGAACTCATACTTGCTGTCAGCCTGTGGGAGCCAGCCCGCTCCCGCATGTAATTCGCCAGTCACCTGGAACCCTGACTGGAGGTCTTCTGTGAGCTCTGGAAGGCCTGGCATCTTGGCCAGGTCGAGCAATCGCAACAGAAGTGGAATCTGTGAGATTTGGTTGTGGTCTTTGTTGAAGTACACCTGGGCCACGTGAGGTGGAAGTGACTTCCACCAGGTCTCGGTCGCATCCATGCTGTCGAGGGCCCACTGTTCGATCTCGTCCACTATCTCTGTCCTCATGCGTGCGAGGCTGCCTCCAATGATGCCGCGGAGGTCCACACATTGCTGTAGCCCCGGCTCCAGCCGAGGGGGCCGTTGTACTGGGTGACTGGAAGCCACGGCCATCTGCCAATGCTCCCACATCGACCCGGCTTGGGCCACGCACGTTGCTTCGCTGGGCCATGTCCCTGGGCCCAGATGCGGTGTCGTTGGCTGCAGGAAGGTCAGCATGGTCTGAAGCGCGGTGTGCCGTGGCTGTGGCACGGGTGACGAAGCGGTCACCATCAACATGGATTGGAGGACCAGCATCATGATGAACCGTGTTGATCCAATGTGCCAACCGTTTGCCAGCATTCTGTGTCTGGCTTTCTCCGACACTCCCGGGACGGACGTATACCATTTCGGCAGCTGGTGCAGCTGTTCCTTGGCTTCCGGGGGCGGGACCACCATGCTCCCATCGGCTGCATGGAGAAGAGCCTCCTTGGAGTATTGCCATGGAGCAAATAGCCGCCAATCATTCATCCATCGCGCCTTCTGTTCAGGGTCTATCTTCCCTTTCAGCTTCTTCGGCGCTGGTCTGCCATCGTCCGATGGTGCTGGAGTTGTCAGACACGGGATGCGCTTGTCATGAGATGCCACCGCATTGTGAAGTCGAAGGCCTTCCAGCTGGAGATCCGTCTCCTCCTGGAACGTGGTGTCGTGATGGAGACGGTGGTATTTTTGGCTCTTGGACAACCGTAACCGTTTCCCTGTGATGGGATTTGTCCGGATGCTGCTCCAGTTCACTCTTGTCCACCACAAACGAGGGCGGTTGATGAGGCCGAAGTCTTGCGCGTCAGACAAGATCGCATTGCAGTCCAGGAGGCTGGAGAAATGGTCAGCCTCTCCCTTGTCCATCACCACGTTCTCGGTAAGGTGGCCTATCCTCCTGTGAGGTATGCCCATCTCCACCTTCCTGATAAATTCACAGTATGCTGTGAATTTGTGGCCTTCTTCACCTGCTGAGCCTGGTGCATCTGCACGAATGCGTGAGAAGTCAGGGCATGGGGGAGCAGCTAAGAGCACCAGCTTGGTGCCCTCAGGGTCATGGCGGTGTATCACTCTGGCGACCTCATCAGGGTCATCTTTGAGAAAATCGCCCCGGGTCACCGCCTCTGGGTGACGGGCCTTCAGCACTTCCATACAATCGCTGTCCACCTCCCATACAATGTGCAGCGAAATGGCTGCTACCAGCCCTTTGAGGATCAAAGCAGCAGACCCAATGCCGTCGAAACGGCTGACAAGGATGACCTCCTCATTTAACTTCTGGAAAACTTGGCCTCGCTCGGCCGTTGGTGGTTGGCTGGGTGGCGGGTACCCAGTGCTGTCGGGTGTCACGAGATCCACCTGTCTCATGACCCCGTGTTGTCCCTATTTGGACGGCGTCTTCCAATCGGAAGACCAGGGCTCCTTCTGCCACCTCGGCTTGTCATCCTGTTTCTGCGATCCCTGCCATGGGTGGGCGGCTCTGTCATAGCCGTCGTCCTTGTGCCATGTCCCCTGTTTTGTAGGGCGGCTGTAAGGAGAAGGTCTCGTGCCCTTCCCTGACTTTGTGCTACCTTTGCCATAACCCTTGGTTTCAGCCTTGGCAGGGGCTGATGTCATGGGCTTCTTGGTGGTCTGGCTGGGTTCACGACTCATGCACTCAGTGAAAGAATCATAGTCCTTCATGATGAGCGCCGTGGCCTCCATGAACGTGCGGCCTCCTCTCATCTCAAGGGCCAGCTTCCAGGAGACCGTCATCCAGAACTGCGCAAGCTGGTCCGTCTTCTGTGGTCTGCTGCGGACCAACCTGACCAGCCAATCGAAAAAGGCGTGGACCGCCTGCTCGGTGCCCAGCTTGCATAGGATGAAGCACCATCGAATGCTCGCCAAGCCGTCCAGGATGGCAAGGACGCTCCGAGGTTGCCACGGTTCCTCAGGGGTGGCCACAAGTTGCTCACCTGTCAATGTGAGCTTGGTCACATTGCGCTCTCTCTTTGCGAGAGGGTTCGGCTCACCATTGGCCTGAAAGGTCCTGGTCGAGATCAGCTCCCCCAGCAACACTGGGGTATAGTTCTTGCTGGTCTCATGCTCGTGTAGGACCCGGGCGATGACAGCTTCTGTCCCCAGTAACTCCTGGACTGGGAAGACTCTGTCTTGGCCTCCGATCTGCTGTGACTGGTATTCATGCACCAGTGCTGTCCAACGTCCTGGAGCCAGTGCCTTGGGGACCTTGTCCTCGGCTGGTGTTGAGGCTGCCGTGGAAGACGTGCTCTGGGTCGGTGTGGCCTTCGGCATGGCTGCATGTTGTGTCGCTTCCCATACCTGCTTGGCCATCATCCACATGTGCAGCAATACCGCCTTGGCAATGGGCTTGTCCTGTTCTCGCACGGTGATGGTCGTGCCATCTGGTCTAGGCCAGCCCTGTAGGAGAGGCTGTATCAGGGTGAGGTCGAGGTTGTCTTCGTCTCGACTCAGAAGGGCCAAAGTGGCCGGAGTCTTGATCCCTCTGGCGTCGAGGTATTCGTTGACTATGTCGCCAGCCGCCGCGTCTCTTGCTAGGTCTGCCAGCGACGTGGGTGCAAGGGAGAGCACCATGGTCGTGAAGTCTCGTTGGGACCGGTTGTGCTCAGCCAGACTGAGGGATAAACAAAAATACATCAAATCAGCAAAATAAAATAACGAAGCACTGTCAATCGCACCTGCAAATGAAGCAAACGTGGGAAACAATCCGGCATGAGAGGCATGACAATGAAAAATGAACACAAATAAACTTCAAAGATGTCTCGGTCACGCTGTCATTGTTGGAATGCACGTGAGAAATGTGAAATATGTTGTGGCCGCTTTGTTTTTCCATCTCCGCATGTGGTCAGCTCGCCTGCTGGAGCCGCCTAGTCTGCCTCTGCGCTGCTTGCAGAGGAGCTGGCTAAATCAGTGAGGCCTGCGGACCCGTCACTGCTATCTGAGCTTGAGTCTTCGCTCAAGTTAAAACACTTCCTACAACGTCTGGCTCCGTCAAACTCGTTGGACGTTCTCAAAAATGTGCGACTGCCGTAGTTCCAGCCACACGGTGTCCGCCATTTGACGGGTTCATTGCTGTCCTCATGATGTGAGGCTTTGTGGAGGATTCTGGCCCTTGGACGGAAAACATAGGTTTGTGCAGGCGCCTGCACGGCCTGCTTCACTTGTTCGAGCTCAGCTTTCAAGCCTCTGACTGCTGCTGCCAGGGCCTTGGGTCTGGCTGCGGGTGCAGCCGGTTGAGGCGACGCCTGGCTCGATGATGCCTTGCCGGCTCCCTGAACCACTTGTATTTGTAGTTTGCATGTGCCAGCCGCATCGTCTTGCAACACTTGTTGGGGTATCTGGGGCACCCTATTCAAGGCGCTGTCCTGGGTGTAGCGCAGTACGGCTGTACTGGTCCACCTCCCGAGCAACTGGATCAAGGAGAGCTCGACCCCAGAGCTCGACAGCATCTGTGCACCTGAGATCCGGAGCACGTGGCCGTGGTATCTCTGTGTCTCTTGCCCCTCTGGACCTGGGCGTGTGAGTGAAGTTCCCGTTCTTGCTATGACTCTTCGAACGGCTTCAATGAAGGTATTCTTGGATGCTGTGCGTCCGTCTGAATCTGGAAACAGTGGAAGGTGTTGCCGTGAGCCTTCATTGACGAGGGCTTCCAGTCGGACCAGGTGACGTTCGGCACTGTGCCAAACACACATCCCGTGGATTTTCACGGTGCAGGAGCATGTCAAGGACCGTTCTGTGTACCGTCCTCGTTGATCCGTCTTGTGGATGGGAATGCTCAGACAGACTTCGTTGCCATCTAAGCGGAGGTCGCATGCCCGTGCACTTGCCATTTCAGACTCACGGAGCATGAACCACAACCCGATCATGGCCATGTCCCGGCAGTGGGAGATATTGTCAAACGAAAAAGGCTCTTCATCTGAGGTCGGCTGTATGCCTCCTAAAAGTAGCCCGTTAAAGGCATCCTTGAGCTTGCTCTCGCCAAGCCCACGTTGGATGGATCTGATGCAATCTCTGATGCCCAGCTTGACAATGGCTGGGACTGGTGTCTTGAGTACTCTCTGTTGGTGGCCGCATATGGCCTGAAAGTACACTGCCGCACTGCGGTACCCACCCGCTTTGAGCGATGCACCAAAGCATCTGATATTGTTGCCGCCCAGTGGGAATCCAGCTATCTCCCAAGCACGGCAGATGGCCATGTAGGTTCGGACTCGAGCTTCGACTGCTGGGTTGGTTGACTTCGCCAACACATCTTGGTCCAGAAGTTGCAAAGACCGTTGCCTCTGGTTCGGTAAGGCCGCTTCCAACGCCGCCTGTAAGCAGGCTCTCTTGCCCATGCGACGCACCGGAAGATCAATCCGGTTTGTTGTGTCTGGGGTAGCGCCCGGGCCTGCTGCCGGGGTCCCCGAGGAGGCAAGGATGGCTTCCAATTGCCAATGGGGCATGCCTGCCTCATGCAGTGCGTCATACCTCAACACCAGCTGGTTGAGGCTGACGATCCCATGGCGGACCAGGTCAGGGGCAAGTTGTTCAAGCCCAGCCCTGCGAAGGGAGTCCCACAACTCTCCTAAATTGGACATCTGAGAGCAGCCAGACTGTGGTGGAAATCCGAAACTGTGTAAAGAAATGCATGCAATCAAATGAAATCAAAGCAAGTGAAATACACACAGCAAGAATCACTCCGTGCATCGTCAACCCTACACACTGCAAGATAAAACTGAAACGCTGAATGCATTCACGTTGGAGAAACAGAATGTCTCCAAGTCACATGCTATGAGTGATGAGAAGGGCTGATGAAGCCCAGATTGCAGGCACTTGCAGAACTCTGCGGTCCCTTTTTCAACCCGCGCAATGATCAAAATGAGCAGAGCCTGTCCCCTGTCCGGTCTCGAAGTAGACAGAGGAGATGAGGCCCTGGTTTAGCCCGACTGTCATGGTGTTCGAAATCTCATAGGTGTACCCTGTGCATTCACTGGGGCTGCTGGCCAGCCATCATGGCTTCCTGAAGCCTGTCCTGAGTTCTTTCCAGGAGCGCCGTCTGCATGCGCCACTGATAGTTTTTCAGGGCCGTTTGGATCAGGTTGAGGGACGGGAAGATGTCATAATAGCGAAGTTCCTCTATGGCCAGCACCGCAGAGTAGAGGAGCCGGTCTGCCCGGGTCCCTGATTCGGCGTCTTTGGCGAGGCGCCAACGAATCATATGATCCATGGAAAGTTCCAGTTCAGCCCTGAGCGCGGTCATCTCTCGGGCTACCTCCTCTCCAGTGGGATGGTCTGGACCCTCTGTCCATACAAAGTCCCCCTCTGCCATGGCCGCTGTCGACTCACAGGCCAAGGGGCCAATGATGGCCATCATCTGGACAAGAGTCAGGCTCAGGTGCCGAACTGGGTTGTTGCCGCATAGCGTCCAGTGGTCCAGCGCTGAAGTGGCTGCCATCAGCAATAGGCCCACTACGGGGCTGGTGGATCGTTCATTAGGTGTGGGATGGGAGGGTGCTTTGGGCTATTTGAGCCTCTGTAGCTGCACCGTTGGCAGTTCAGCACTACCTCCCCATGTTCCTATGCACATGTGTGCTCTCAGACAAAGGGGCTCCAACAGTCACAAGGTTGCTGCCACGCGCCTTTTCATCTGAGAGAACTTCAGCACCAATGACTTTGAAGGCCTCGGCTCCACGAACTGCCTTTTCATCAGAACCAGAAACCTCTTCAGACGCATAGGTGGCCTCCGCCTGCTCAAGGTGCTGCACAGAGACAGGGAGATGGTTGTTGGAAGATGCTGGCTCTCCCGAAATGACAGAGAAGTCATCAATCACGACCCCTTCCCAGACACGACCACGTGGAAAAGGTTGATGCCTCAGGACGCAATGCTCTGGTCGTAACAGGCCGGCTTCTCTCAACATTTGGCAATGACTCGCAAGGGCATACTCAACTCCAAGGTGGTCACCGTCGCTCTCCCGGGATTTTGGTCTACCAAAAGTCTCAAGCAAATCCTGAAGCGCAGGATCTCCCGCAAATCTTCAATGCCAAAGGCAGCAAGTTTGTGGAAGCCCTGGCTCTGCTACCACATGCCTGGTGATAGAAATCTTTCCTATCAGAGGCTGAACCAACAAGCTTGAACTTGGAGGGGCAGTGGATCGAGGTCACGTGATAACCAGAAGGCAAAAAAGCTGAAGTTCCTCTGGTGTGGAACTCAGCACCATTGATCCACCTGCGATCACCAATCTGCCTTTCTGTGCTGGCATTCTTGTCCGCGTTCAAAACTCTGCATGACAAACCACATGGGTGCTTGTCGCTGAAAAGAGCTAAAAGCCCTTTGGCATCCCAAAGCTTAGCAAGTTTGAGATTCTCATCGTACGACTCCCTACTAAAGTCAGGTCCAGGCAGGCTCGACAAATTGTAGCCAAAGCACATCATCAAGGAAAGACTCCAAAGGCCATCTTCCAGTGCCGGTCAGCTTCAAACTGCTCGCATCAAGACCACAATAAGGGCTGACTGGGGAAAATTTCTCCTTAACTTTGAGTTTGTGCTCTTGGGCGATACCCCCAATACGTAGCATAGGGGTTGGGCCTTCTTCACTGGCTCCAGCATACGCGGTAGGGTTGAACTCATGGTGAGAGAATGCTCGAGCGCAACAAGTCGGGCAATGAATTCAAGTCCAGACCTACCTGATGGTAAAGGATGCTCACCTGGTCGGTCACACGCAGTCAGCAAAGACCTCAAACGCCTGTAGCTCTGATGGTGAATAGGGCTAGGGGTCGGCCTCAGCTCACTGTGAATGTAGTTCAAGGCCATCACAAAGACCTGAATAGCTCTGTGAGGGATGAGTTTCTTCCACCTCTTCGCACTGAGCTTGGGACATACTGCCTGGTGAAAAGTTCAAGTCGAGGAGCAGGTATGGGAGGAAGGGCACGAGCCCGTTCGAACGATGTGGAAAGATTTGGTCAAGAAAGGACGAAAACTTCGTCCTGGAACGTGAAATCCAGCGAGGGAGAGCAGCAAGGGCACCACGGAAGGAAATTGTCGCTTCAAACCTTTTCTCATCTGCCTCATCTAGGTCTCCTCCTCTGCGGCCTGGTTGCTCTGGGCATTCAGCTTCCCTTTTCCTCCGCCCTTGGCCTTTGGTTTTCTCTTTGCTGCTGGGGCTGCTGATGCTGCTGCATGGTTTCCTCCTCCCGCATCTCCTGAACTCTTTGGCGCCGCTACTTCGTTGCGGCGAGTGGTGATCACATCCATCTCCTTGAAATACTGCAGCGCCGTCGTGGCCCATCTTTGACGCGCGGTTGGTGCAAAGGGCCTCGGATGTGTCATGGTGGCAACTGACCTTGCCGACAAAGTTTGTGGAGGATCTTCTTGCAGGGTGAGTAGAAGACCAACCTGCATGTTGCCATTGTCCATCGCAGCCTGTTCCAAGCACACAATAAAAAAGACTCGGAGTGTCGCGGGCTGCCATGTAGTCCTCCTCCTGCGTGTAATTCACGCACATCGCCACATGCCATGCTGTGAAGCCCAAATCGCGGATCCTCCCAAGACCTCCAAATCGCTCGAGGTATTGGGTCGGAGTAACACCCCGCTCTGGG